TACTGTCCGTCAGATACAGCGAACACCAGAAGAGGATTCACTCAGAGATCGATTCTGTGGTCGGAAGAGATCGGAGTCCCTGTTATGCCGACAGACTTCATATGCCGTTCACTCAGGCGTTCATTAACGAGTCGTTTCGATACAAAACTAAATTGCCGTTCAATTTGATGCGATGGTAATAATAGATGTATTTTTACTTATTTTATACTTTGAATGACAAATTACAGCACAACTAAGGATACGACAGTTTTGGGTCATTTCATACCGAAAGACACCAGAGTTATAGTCAACACATATGCGCTTCACTCTGATCCCAACGTATGGGTTAACCCTAAAGAGTTTATTCCCAACCGATTCCTATCAAGTGATGGCAAAAAAGTACTCAAATATGAGACTTTCATACCATTTCTAATAGGTTTGTATATGAATAAAATATTAAAGAATATTCTGTATTCATATGTTTGTATTGATAGGTAAGCGTTCGTGTGTTGGGGAGACGTTAGGACGAGTGGAGGTATTCCTGTATTTCGTATCACTTCTGCAAAGATATAGAGTTAGTGCTAAGAATGTGGACATAATGTCAGTCATAGCCGATAGGTTAACGATGAATGCAAAGCCAAAGGATGACCTAATCCTCGAGTTTCACAAATGTTTATAACATAATGTGTTTATATTATATTTAATATGATTCAGTTGCCTATTAAATATACTTGCCAATTAAATGAGGCAGTAATGTAATCAATTATCTAATCGAGAATATTCTGTAAACATGGTATTTTTATTTAATTTTAATTTTAATGTTTACAAGATTAAATCAATAAATTATTTTGAAATAATTATTAGTTAATTTAAGTGTTGAATTACTATTTAAAACAATTACGATTAAACTCTTTTGTCGAAATTTTAATACTGTAGTAAAATTTTCGGCACTTTTTGCACAAATTTGCACACAAAACACCACAAATCATTGTTAGAGTTAATATATTATTTTATGAGAAACAAATTTTAATTACTTATATCATAAACTCTATTATCAAAAAAGTATTGATTATATTTGTGTGAAAACCAAATGCTTATGACATG